TGAATGAGAGAAGAAGATGCAACTGCGCAGCAAAGACAGAATAACTCCAGCTTTGTGTCTACTTTTTAATTCTAACTGAAGTACGAGACAAATCGCTTCCTTTTCACTTCAATATGGAACTGCGATGGCCAGTCCATCTGTGGCTCAATATATCAGTTGTTAACTTAACGTGGAAATACTATGCAAACATTCGGGGATGAACTTACACACTTGTTTTACTTCTCTGGGATAGTTTTCGCTGAGATGAAATGCCGCGGTTAGGAAGCATGTAGCGAGGCTCCAAATGCTCCAACAGACCACCGACAGGTCTCGCAGACAACAGTTGCTCCATCACGTGACACATACTGCTCCGATGCGCCGAGCTGGGTTACGCCAAGTAGCATGTTTTGTGAAGTGATTCTGTGATACTTCGGATCGGATTACATTTTTTATTTCTCTCCGATATCCGATCCAGTAATTTAGGTCAGTATCGGACCGATACCGATACGTAATATCGGATCGGTCCATCTCTACCTGACACATAAGGGATCACTAACGTTTGTCGCTAAGGGAGCAGTTGTTCTTCTCTCCTGGATCGGCTGGAACTTTTTTTAGCCGCCTTCCCAGCTTTGACAAATGTCCAGCTGGCATAACCACATTTACTCAGAGCCTTCTTGATGTGATGTTCTTCTGCTTCCCTGTTCGCTCTATTTTGTACCATCCTGATCACACCCAGTTTGTGCTCTAGCAGATGATCAAACCTTAACCTCCTAATACCCGAACTCTTTCATGGCATGCATTTTTAATTTCTCTTGGCTTTTGTGGCTGTTTGGGACCTGATGAATTTAAAAACAAAGAATTACCAGATTTTTTTTTACCTGATTTTTGATTATGAGAAAAAATGAGATTCAAATAGGACAATTGTTTTAAATTTCGATAGAACAGTGGCAGTATAATCGCCTCGTAAGTGGATATCAGGCCCTTGTAGAGCAAAATCTCGTATTTTGGTCTAGACAACCGAAAATGTGATGTCCACATATTTGGACGCCAGGTCCTAGGAGGTTAAATACTGTTCCGTATGTGTAGGTTTATGGTACACATCAATTTTTCAATGTCCCCCATTACTGATGGAAATCTCACAGTCTTAGAAGGCTAACCTGCCACTTTCCTTATCCTCCCTGGTGGACATGATGTATTTGTCTAACTAGTTAATGTGATCAGTGAATTGTGGTCCATCCTGAAATTTGACTTCCACCCAGGTGTCATCCACATATCAGAACCAATGACTTGTGGTCTAAGGAGCTTGGAAAGAAAAGTGTCTGCACTTCTTTAAGTTGCTTGAAGACGTTTTACCTCTCATCCAAGAAGCTTCTTCAGTTCAAGGTCACCTTCACCCGTCTTCACACCTTGGCTTGTGTGAATAGGTAGAGGATCATTAGCGGGTCCATTGTTCCTCTTGAGGTTACACATCCACAGGGCTTAAATCTGGGACTCTCCACCACTTGACCCTTGAACTGAAGAAACAATGCCCTGGATGACTGAGAAGCTTCACAGACAATGACTTGGTGGTGTTACAGGGTAGAAAAACAAAGCCCTCTTTCTTAACAACTCAAAATCAAAACTCCTATGTGCCTACTTTGTGTAAATGTTGAAACGTGATAGGCTTGTGTGACCTTAGATTCACCAGCTGTCCCCACCTTTCTTCCTCCAGTGTTATTTGAATGTCAAATTGTTTCATGGCTTTGTTTACCCTGTAATCCTTTGGTGGCAAAAAAGATCATTTATCTACCTCAATTCCTCTTAAGTATTTGCATTTAAACAGACATGCCTTAACGTGCCTTGGCAACACTCCACTTTCTGTGACTCATAATAAAGCAACTGAACAAAGAAAGTAAGAAAAGTGGGACCCACAAAACAGAATTTCCAGTTTTATTATGCTGCTGTCAAATATAGGTTACTTATAATATATAGCAAAAACGAAAGAAAGAAAAGAATTATATCCCTAATTAATGTTTTTCTGTTAAAGCTGATATCACTGAAAATGGGTACATATGAAAACCGAATAAGAAATCCATAATAATCTTTTTGAAATAAGAAGTTAATGTTTTCAATTCATAGTAGGGTGACTTCCTCTCTCTTGTGCTCACATTTCTTAAAATTATTTTGCCAGGAGGTGGGGCACTGGGGGAACCAGCAAATCTTGGGAGTGCCCCTGGGCTGAAAACGCTGGAGACTATAATCATAACTATAATATTAATAACTATGCCAATAATAATAATGAGACAAAAGTTCAGATTAGCTTTCACTGGCAGAGACAGCTCTTAAAGTAAATTAATAAAAGATGCTCAAATTGCAGACTCTTATAGATTGGAAAAGTCAAATTATTATTGTATATGTTGTGTGCTAATGGTCTGAATTTAATCATTAAATTATTGCTATCAGATCCCTAAGATGCTGACTACATGGCATAAATGAAATAAGTGCTTTTGTATAGGTAGCTGCTGTTCACATCTGTGCAAACACAGGTGTTTGGTTCAATAAATTCCTGCACCTACTTCCCATTTCCTAAAATATAATGTAAAATATAAAGAAATGTGAGGTGGCTCAAAACATTTAAAAAACACTGTATCTGTAAATTTTAACCAGACAGAAAAACGTTTAAACACTTTAAAAACACAAGAAAAAAAATGGTTACTAAAATCATCTGCCTGTTGATTTCTTTGCATTTCCTGATGTTTCCTTCTTCCAGGGTCCCATACAAAGGTAACAAAAAATATTATTTCTCGAGGAAACGAATAAAAGAGATTTATTTTTATTTTTAATAAGCTTAAGATTGTTTAACTTGATAAGACAGAAATAGGAAAAAATACACCAGAGATTAAAATATGATAAATATCCAAGCTAACATGGTCCCAGTACTTGGGTCTAACTATATTTTCAACAGTTATGCTGCACAATTAACATTTAAACAGACACATTTTTACAACTGAGTATAAATGAACTTTGATATTGCTGCAGGAGAAATAACAATTAAATTTTTCTTTTTGTTTTGCTTGTTTTTGATTTAATCAACATAGACATTTTTTATTTACACATCAAAACAAAAAGTTGAAATAGAATTCTTTCAAAAAAAAAATCTAGCTTACATAATTTTTTGACAGGATAGAAATGAAACAGGCGATATAAATAACCAAACTGTACTAACTACAATAAACAAAAATGTTCTCAAAATTCATTTTGCAAAGTAAACAACTTCAGTAGCAAATAAAATTGAGTCTCTCCACACAATCATGCGCCTCCCAAACACCTTGAGTCCCTCCTGTCACTTGTAGGGCTCCACACTTCATCTTGGGGTGCGGACACAATGGTTTTCCCCCATCACCCCAGGCCTCGTAGCCCATCTCCTGTTTGTCCACCCACAGCCACTCTCTGGACAAGAAGCGCAAGCCAATCCAGACGTGTTCAGTGGTGTTATGTTTCTTCAGCTCTTTCTGGATCAGCATCATCTCGGTCTCTGATGCCACACTGGCCAGGTCGTTATGGTGCTCCCTGCAGTACTTTAGTGCTTCCTCCCAAGTTTTTTTTTTTAGTTGCCACCACTGGCCAGTAGCAGAAAAAGTGTTCCTTACCACCTCCGTCTGAATCATGCCACCTGTTTTTCTCAGTATAGCCATAATTGTCATTACTCTTATTGTCAGGTTGTTTAACTTCCCAGAAAAACCTGGACACCTCTCCACCTCCTGACCACAACCATTTGTTTTTGTCTGAGGACCTCCTTATCAGTCCTATCCAGATCTTTTCAGTTGTGCCACCGGAGAGCTCCTGAAGTATGTGGATGTCGCGCTGATTATTAACAGGAGCCAGGTCTGTATGGTGCTGGCAACAGTAATCTAAAGCCTCTTTCCAGCTGTATTTCTCCTCAATGTAAACATACTTGGTAAAAGTTCCAGACAAGCTCAGCAGGAGCAGGATGCAGGGAAAAATTGGATTCATTGCTGTCTTGCTTCAAAGAGTTCTCAAGAGCAACAAAGATACAGAGAGGTTTGATGATATCTGCTGGAGCTTTGACTTTTTATGTTTGTCTGTCAAAATGTATTTGCATAGGGCAGTACTTTCATTCACTGAATCAGTCAGCATCCAGTACAGCTGTTGCACAGTTGCTGTTTCCTTTTACTTTATTACCATTTTTTTTTAAATAACATGTATTTTCTTTTGAAATCAGCTGACTGAAAAAATGATGAAAACAGTTCATTGTTCTCTACACTGCAGCAGGTATAAAAACTTCTAGTCAAAATGCAGGCAAACAAGTTTGTAAATGTGTGCACATAATATTAGGAAATAAAGATTACTTGATGATTAAACATAAATTAAATGTTTAGCCTAATTGTTTCTTCAAGAAATTTTACTTTAAGTAGATTTTTAGATTCAGGTCATTTTTCTTGCTTTTCTGGTTAATATGGAAGTGAATGCCAAATGACCTATGGCATCGGCTGCAGTTACAAAAGACTCTAAGCAAAGTAAATTACCTTCATTTATAATTACAAAAAAAAAAACACTCACAAAAATGTCTCTTAACAAGGTTGACATGCTTCGGTGATTTTGTTGATGGTGACCTTTGGCGGACTCCTAGATTTAAAAACAAGGTATGATGAGTGGAAACCCAGAGCAGATGTAAACAGATGTAATCTACTGGAACAGAGCATGCTAAACAAATTATTGATTTGTTTAAAGTACAACAACCATTTTGTCCAAACCAGGTCTCAGCAGACCGAGTGGCTCAATTTTTTGCATTACTAGATGAGGACTTTTTTCAATGAGCCATATTTTCACAGAAACCTGATAAAAGAAGGAAAAACAAAATGTAACAATCATATAGATATTCAAAAAAATATAAATAAATTTACAGTATATTGTCTGAACCAAGCTCATATATGAAAAAGGTTGGTTACTAAGATACTAAGGTCACTTGAACACATAAAAAAGGAAGAACTTCAGGTACTCAAGAGTCTCTGTATACAGCTCAGCAGCTACAGACACGGCACAAGAATAACCGGCTTTAACAAAGTCAAAGGACAAACATGGCTTTGTTTCTGCAATCAGAATAATGTGCAAATAACTTAAACACAATAGAATAACGAGTCAAGTTCCCATCAAAAAACCTGCTCTCCAGGGCAAGACATAAATTTCGGATCTCATTAGACTGATGGATGGAAAGATAGATATGTCAACTTGGTGTTATGATTGTGCTAATTCATTAAAAACAATGAAGAACACAGCTCTGAATTTATAACAATGAAATACACGAAAACAAAGTGTTATGGACACAGAAACACAAGACTGAAAGCAAGGAAAATATGTTCCTGAATTTATTTACCTGCACACATGCATACAGATGACGTAAACACAAATGTGAAACCTATTTATTTTGTTTCCAGGTAAACACAAACTAATACATTTTAAAACATCATCAGTGATTAGCATAAATGTAAATATTATAAAGGCACAGTGTTATTGCTAAGCACTTGTATGCCATAAATGAATGCAGAAAAGCAATAACACTGTGGCTTAACAATAACAATAGATTTGATATTGGCGGGTTTTATTGTTTGTTTGTCTTTAGTTTTTTTCTTTTCTTTTTTTCTCAAGACACTAAAATAGCTAAAAACTAAATTAATTAAAAATAATAAATAAATACATGATGTTTTGTTTTAACAGAAGAAAAGAATAGAATCTTTGTGCAAATCATTTGTGAAAACAATCAAATATTCTCAGTCTTGTAAGAATCAGCTCAAGTACCACAATCAGGGAAATAGTAACCCATGAAGTACAGTTTGAAGATTATTGTGCTCTTGCTGTTCTTTCTATGAACTGCAGAAGGTCACCAGCTGTTTTACTAGGGCAGCAAAAACACTTTGGTTATACCAGCCATCATCTCACTTCCTGTACAGAGATCCAGTCATCTGTATTTCTAACACTCAACTTAATGCTGTTTTGCTAGTTAGAAAGCACAAATACATCTATCACCTCCATTGATCCGGAAACCAAGTTTCATGTCAGGAAATATTGCTTTGCTTCTGGTTTGCTTCAGATCCTGTCCGATCACAAAATATTCAACTACCAAGTGTCTACTGAAGTGCAAGGTTTACAGAGCTGTGTTCATATTATTTCTCATATAGGGTTTTGTGACATGGTGCTGTGGAGATACAGAAATTATTTTACTGCTACCATATATTCTTTATCATTAACATTGCATTAAACAGTTTATTAAAGCTACTGGTATCATATTAACCTTTTTATTACAGGTGCAGCTATAATCATTGTATACACATTTGCATGTTCTGCTCATTAAAAGAGTCGATTAATTGATTAGTTACTGTAACTGATGCATATTATGTGCATTTGTGACGCAGAAGGGGTTGAACCCTGACATGAATAAAACCATTCTCAATTGAGCTGTTCGGTGAAGATCGATGCTGGTGTTGCAGTATACATCTTCCCACGCATGTACTCAATAAATCATTGTTTGACTGCACTCTTCTGGGCCTCTGTTTGTTTGTTCCAATGCTCAACATTTTCGAATTCGGACAGTGCTCATACCAGAAGCTTGGGCAGTTTGACCAAATGCAGCAGCATCATTTGTTTTCAGTCACTTGGAAAGACAAGCTCTCTAACACTGAAGTTTTGTCCTGTGTAGGAAAGCCAACAGTGTACCCAATGGCCCTGACTGCTCAGCTGTGTTGTGGTCATGATGCTTGATGGCAAACTGCCCAAGGATATACCCTATGGTCAATGATCCAGTTGGGCTCGCAAATGCAAGTGCTACAAACGTGCTTTAAAGCCCCAAATTGATCCCCTAATATTATAGAAGCTGGCCTCATAGTGCATTCATTAAAGATATGCCATCAAAGCAGATGTGGAGCGTTGAAAAGAAAAACAAGATACTACAATGAAGGACCATAGAAAATGTCAAGTAAACTAGCATGCCTGCAGCAGACAGAACAGCCCCTGATTTCAGTCAGTGGGGACAACATTCTTGTATTTCCTGTGAGGCAGAACCACCACCACAGGAGAGAGAAATGGCTTCTGGGAAACCTTAAATGATACACTGGCTTAGAAAACATTTGACAGTAGTAAGTGTCTGGTAGCATGAATCTAGAGTGGGTCAAGTGGAATGCAAACAAATTTCCTACAGGAACATGTCATGACAAGAAGCACCATGGGTCTCTATTATGGTTAGTGGTCTGCACTTCACACAGTTGATTCCAATGTGAACACACACGTCAAAGACCAGAACAGTTTTGTTAGAAATTTCCCCCCAAATTAACATTTTGTTCCTGTGCTGCACTCCTTAGAGACTGTTTTAATATCTCAGCACAGAAAAACAAATTTTGCACTTGCGAAAATTTTAATTTGTTATTTCAAGGTTCAAGGTTCTTTATTTGTCACATGCATAGTTATACAAGTATAACACACAGTGAAATGTAGCCTGACACGCTCCTCGACATGTGCAAAAATTGGGGGGGGGGGCTGT